AGCAAGCGTAGAATATGTGATCGTGGAAAGAAAAAAAATCATAGATGTAATTTGAGAAATAATAAAAGTAAATATTAAGTGTTTACTACGTGCTGGGCACTGGACTAAATACTGTCTAAAACCAAACCTGTTGAGTCCATTCTGACTCAAGGTGACCCCATGTGTTGCAGAGTAGAACTGTGTTCCGTAGGATTTTTGGTTAGTAGTCAAGAGCGGTTTGCGTCACCCAGGGACAGGGACAGATTACCCACTAAATAAGGTATGCATGGGTTTACTTGTGTATACTTGCTAATATGTAGTGAACAATTTCACTTGTTTTTTACCACAAAAACAGATGAAATTGTTCACTGTAGATTAGTAAGTACATACAGGTAAGCCTGCGCATACTTTGCTTAATGTAAGCCAGTGCGTACCTTGCTTACTGGTTAATCTGCCCCTGCCCAGGGAGGATGTAGTTCTAGGAGGTAACTATTATTGTCTCGATTTTGTAAAGAGGAAAAGAAGGTTTAGTGAGGCTCGGAACTTCTTCAAGGTACAAGATCAAGCCCGGATTAGAAAAGCAAGCAAGAATCCCCGTCTTTATTTTGTATTTGTTATAGATGTAAGTTTTCCATTGAAACACAGACTCTGATTGAATAAAAATGCCCCAAATCATGAATTGATGAATATACATCCTACTCTGCAAGGAAGACTGATTTTATAGCTGAGAAAATTTCAGAAGAATTAGATACTTTCCTCCTAACTGCACAGTTATTAAATAGGAGCTATGGGTGTCAAAGTCTTCTCCATATAGTTTTTGCACATTGTAGTAGCTTTGATTTCTTTCAAGAGCAATAGTCTATAAAGTCTTGTGTCAGAGCTGTAAAATTTCTTACTGGTGCCATGAGTTCTTCTTCTTACTACAAACAATACATCATCCTCCCAAAACTGATTTCAGATTCAAGTTTTACTTAATGCTATTTTGGGAAGCACAATCAGGAGACAAGAGCTGCATTAATGTGTTAGTTTGTTATTTATGGCTTTCTTCCAACAAAGAAGGGAAGAATAGTGATGGTGGAGTTTATACAATTGTGTGGACTCCAAATATGAATGTGGGAAAATTTTGTAGAGACTACTAATTTATAAACAATCACAGTTAAAAATAATTTCAAAGAAGAGAATGGTGGTAGGAATCCCAAAGAAATACAGTTCATAGATGCTCCATTTCCTTGGAAGATATTTTATAGACTTTGGCAAGATCTTGTGTAATAATGCTAAGCTTAGGAATAGCCTGCTGAGCTGCTAATAGTAATAATGTGACATGTTTGACAACAGAGTGAGTCAAGAGTGCTTTTGACCTACCCTTGGAGTGCAGTTAGCGAGGATATTTTTATGTTTGTTTTTTAAACTTATACATTAATATGATTTATATAAAGATCAAGGAGCCCTGGTGGCAAAAGGGTTAAATGCTCACCTGCTAACTGAAAGAGTTGGTGTTTTGAACCCACCAGTGGCTCCACAGGAGAAAGACCTGGCCATCTGTTCCTGTAAACATTAGAGCCTAGAAAATCCTATGGGTTAGTTCTGCTTTGTCACACGTGGTCTCTATAAGTCGAAATCAACTTGATGGCACCTAACAACAACAACATATAAAGATCATTTAATTCTCTTCTTGGAGCAAGATATATATATGGAAAACCTGGTGGCGTAGTGGTTAAGATCTATGGCTTCAACCAAAAGGTCGGCAGTTCAGAGTCACCAGGCGCTCCTTGGAAACCCTATGGAGCAGTTCTACTCTGTCCTATAGGGTCGCTATGAGTCGGAATCAACTTGACAGCAACGGGTTTTTGTGTATATATGCTTTATATATATAT